ATATAATAGAATTATACGGGTTTTTTTCAAATTTTCTCCGGGCTAGCCAAATGGGTTCCAGGTCTTGTAACAAAAATTCCCTTTGACAGTAGGAGGGTCCTTCCAATACCCCTCCCCTGTAAAAATATGAAGGTCTAAATATTGGATCTTCGATGTTAATTAGACCCAAGGGCAATGTACTCTTATTCAGAAATACATATAAGACAAATTCTACTAAGTTTTTTTTAAATTTTCTTCGGGCTAGCTAAATGGGTTCCCGGTCTTGTAACATAAATTCCCTTTGACAGTAGGAGGGTCCCTCCCATACCCCTCCCCTGTAAAAATTTGAAGATGTACAAATACTTTTTATTGTATTCAACATTTTTTTTTATCCAATTTTGACCAGGCTAGCTAAATAGTAATCATTTTGGTCAGGCTAGCTGCATTGGTTTGGGGTCCTCAGTCCTCTTCTTTAAGTGAAGTCTTTGCTTTTCTTCTTAAACACGGATTATGATGCGTTTTTAAAGTTTTTTGAAAAAAAAATTATTAGGACATTTACGGTAATTTGAATAGCGAACGGCAGACAGCCTGCGGTTCGCCATTCGAATGGCGAATAGCGAATAGCGAATAACCGTCCAACTTCTGATTGCCGTTTTAGTCATCAGTTTAATTATAGTTAGTAAACAAAACGTTATCAAAATAAGTGCTCGTGAAACTAATCATCCTATTTCATGTATAACAATAACATTTTCACACCTAAATTAGTTGATTTTTATTATTAAAGCTACACGTTTTCATTTACGTGTAGCTTCCATTTACAAGTTTTACGAACGTGTAGCAATCTTGACGTCACTAAATTGATGACGTAATACGCAAGTAATTTAGGTAATTTCCCTAATATTTACATTTGCTGATGTCATTCCTGATATAACAATGCTAATAAAACTGAAATTCAATTTTCAATGACATGAAGTTGGTCACATGATCAGATTTTCTTGAGTATGGAAAGCAAACTGCACGAGCCATTTGAAAAAATCCGATTGTGACGTCAAAACGTCGTAGAAAGTTAAGTCGCATTTCCAAAGCAAAGTCTAAATTTGCCTATATTTCTTTGAAACACGACTAAAAAAGTAAAATATAAATATAAGAAATAAAATATCATTTTTAGAGTTTCATTTGGGTATGACATAAGTCGGACGTGATCAAATCTACTATAACGCCCTTCGGGCGTTATAAATTTATCACGTGACCACTTCATGTCATACCCAAATGAAACTCTAAAAATGATATTTTATTTCTTAAATTAACATACCCGTCACTACACGTTTGATATCTCAACCTCTCTTACGAAAACTTGTGTTTTAGAATTGACGTCATCTCGCTTACTATGACGTCATGATGGAGCACTGATTTAGTCAAGGTAGAATAATTTGTATGCTTCCTTATCCCCCCTGCGTTGTTGCTAACGTGCAATAATCATTTATTTAAGTGCCAAAACATTGCGCAAAACTTTCCAAATCAGTCGTCTAAAAATATTTTTGTTACACTCGTTAAGGTCAAGATCTAGTAAATAACTTGAGACTGATTTTTTGGTGCTAGATCCATTATGACGTCATAATCAATTTCAACTTTCTTTTCCCCTTACTTTACGGCTTTAGCAGAATTATGTAGAAAACTGGGTATTTTCATGGCATTAAATTTGAAATTACATGAAAAGTAGTCCCGATACTTGTATTAAATTTGATATTATTTTAAAGAAGAGGCCATGAACATACAGATTACTGTTTTCTGAGAGACTGTAGGCAATCTGGATACATTTCCTTTGTCAAATATGAAAAAACTCCGATATTCATGACTGGTTATCTTAATATTTCAATGAGAATGACAGTTTGAAATATAGTTTTTCATCTTGTTTACCAACAAATTATGCCCCGAAACACCTTATTTGACCAAGCTAAAGTTGTAAGGAATCAATAAAGGAATTTATTTCTCAAGTTTGATAAATCTGTAGGCACCCTATTTACAGAGTTAATTGTTCATCTTCCGGCGTTTGTTGATGACGTAAACAGTAATCACTAGTATGACAATAAGGAGACATCCTCCGGCAGCTGCTCCTATAGCGGTGTACAGTATATAATGTCTGTCTTCATTTCTGTCACAATTGACTGCCGCTATAAAGAGATTTGGACAATACATTGTAAATCAGAATTGTTCTTGCACATGAGTATTTCAGCAACATCTGCGATATTCCTGAACACATTATATATTTGCAGTTTTCTTTCTATTTGGTGCTTTTATCGACTTTGGAAAAAATGTTGGAAATGTTAGCGTTTATAATCTAACCATGTTAGAGAATTATTCTTTTTCTTAAGATTGGTCATGTCATAAAAAGTAAGAAAATTATTTATTATTTTATAATTAAGTTTTAATGTTGGAAATGCTAGCATTATCTAAGATGTGAGAGAATTATTCTTCTTTTTAAGGTTGGTCATGTCATAAAAAGTTAAAGACATTTATTGTATTATAATTAATGTTTTTAATGGTAATGCTAAATGAAATTTCACCTTGTGTATCTTGATCTAGTTATACCCCCCGCTAGAAAAGCGGGAGGGTATATAGTAATCGGTATGTCCGTCCGTCTGTTACGCTTTTGGCTACCCATCTTTTATCCGCAACTCCTCTCATACCACTGAAGGAAATTTAATGAAACTTTCACAAATTCGTTATTATACGAGGGGTGTTAGAAAAGTTCGCGGACAAGTTCTATTTTGAGCGCGCTATTTCCACGAAACTGGTCAAACTTTCCAGATAAAATCTTAACCTATTTTCCAATAAATACACAAAAATTTGGTGCTCTCCGGTGATCATTGAAAAGTATACGGCTTTTTTATTTTGATAAATCTTGCTTCACGGAGCATGCTCCATTTTGGCACGTTTACATTACAAAGACTCTTTATTAAAATTAAAAATTGCACAATTGTAGCGCAAAGAGATTTATGATATTTTACCTATTGCTAAAGTATTCATGAAACGTCACTTGGAGAAATTTTGAATTAAATTGGAGAGTAAATGACTGTTTTATAGCCATTTATATATGATCAACACGTAAAAACACAGCCAAAAATCGGAACGTCATGGAGCGTCATGGAGCACTGCACTACGTAAAAATTATGTGTGTAGACAGTAAAATGTCTAAAAAGAGATACAAATTTTCAAGATGCTGCCGGGAATTTCCTACACACAAAAAGGACAAAAGTTGTGACTTCATATAAATGGAAGGATTAACATTTTGAAAATGATTACTCCATCGATACTTCATTACCCTCTTATCGCATGGACGTTGTGCCCATACGGTTTTGTATAGTTTTCAAACCTGATCAATTTACTGCATAGACGTTTTTAAAGATCTCAAAAATATCCGAATCAATACAATCCGAATTAGTACAAAAGACATTATAGTAGAAGGTAACATGTGTTGATATAGATATTCAATTTTAAAGTAGAAAAAAGATAAGAAAAATCTTCAGAAAGGAAAGATTTATAGAACTGTGACAGAGCATAACGGATTGAAATCTTGTTGTCATGTCGCCTTACGTCAAGGGATTGCTCCGTGAATCCTATGACCTCATAGTAAAAATCGTTGTAAATTTTCAAGATTTTAGTTAATGGACCTGATTTTTTACATACTAATAAACAAAATGTTGGAATTTATTCACACATAGGTCATACTTCACAGTACACAATAGATTTTCCGTAATTCAATGTCTAACAACCCTCGTATATTGCCATGGTGCACCTCCTATTTCACTTTTTGATAAGACATATATTTTAGATTTTCCAGAGCAAAAGATATGGACACTGCAATAACATTCATATGGGAGGCGAAAGGTATCATTTAGTGAGCTATTTGCTCACAGTACCTCTAGTTTTTATGTGGCAGTCAGCCATTTTCATTTTCACAATTTATATGTTATAGACAAAATTTTCATTCAAAGTTAATGTATTATATTTTTTGAAGTTGATACAAATATTCAAAATACTTAAAAAATACAAAAATACTCAATATTCGTGTTCACTTTTATTAACATTTTTATTGGCAAGAAATACAAGAGTGTACTTCTCCGTATTTTTCAGAGGACTTTTGTTCAGGAAAAAAAAACTTAAATGAAAAACTAATTATAAATTAATTTTGAATCATCATTTCTTTTCAAAACTAGGACTATATCATGTCCGTCACGTCCTGTAAATCACTTTTTAATCGCTAGAACTTTATTTTCGCTTTATTACGCGAGACAGTGTGCTCGCGAAAATTTAATTCTCGCGTATTATAATATTCCTTAAGATTATATAGAGCAATAACCACAATTCGTGAAAATTTTGTCTCGCTAATAAAGAGTCAATGACTTGCTCGCGAAATTTAGGTGTCGCGAAAAATTAGTGATCTACAGTAATTTGATGATGAGTTAATAGATCTCAAAAGGAGTCTTTCTGTAACAAACACAACACCAAGAAGGAAGAGTCAATAATTCAAAGATAACAAACTTACAGTGTCCAAAAATGCATCAATCATGTCACCGATTTTCCTCTCGAAATTCATGTTTTTTTTCTCATTTTAAGACTACTCTATAGGATGCATAAGTAGAAACTTCTTAATTTATGCAAATTTTTTTTTATACTTTTGAATATTTCTTCAAAATTTAATTCATACATCTTACCACTGAAGTCTGTCTTGTCCCCAGTTTTGAAAGCTTGGTACTGAAGGTCTTTGGTAACCATAGATAATCCATTTTGCAGATGAAAGGTAGTTTCTTTCTGACACTTGTAGCTCTTGTTATTATTTGTTGTGAGTTTTCTGAGATTGGCAGTAACAACTGACATTTCTTTAGCAAGAACTGCAAATATTTTTTTATATATATTACTTCTTTTTCATTTTCCTTTCTTTTCTTTTTATTTATTTTTTTGTCTTTCAAAATTCTATGTAGAGATAACTCTTTGTCCATGCACTAGTCATTTTTTTAAGAATGCCAATATAAATTCTTAACAAACGTCTTCGAAACTTACTGCTATCGACTGCATTCTTAAAAAGGATGTTGTTGTAGTCATAGTTCAGCTCTATTTGTGAAATGTAGTAGTAGTTATCAACAGCAATCCCAGCTGTTAATAGATCTGTCTCTTGATTCTTGTCAATTGAGAAGTAAATAGTCAAGGTCCAGGCGTCGTAAAAGCGAATGACCATTTGCTGAGAGAAGAGTCCATTCATAGTTGTGTTGCATTCACCAGACACATTGTACACTGCTGGCAGGGAAACCACTTCTGTGGTTATCTGATATTAAATTAATAACATCCATCACATAAATACATGTACCCGAATCTTTACTTACGTGAGCAAAATAAAATACATATAACTTCAACTTTCAATATTTCAATATATGATAAATATAATTTAATAGCTTAAGGACTAAAATCTATTATAAAAATATTTCTAATTATCATCTCATCATTATTTTTGACATGTAAAAGTAAATGATGCACTAAAAATGTTGTAGAATAACAATGCAAAAGATTTTCAAAATGTTTATTAAAGAAACATCGTCCTGTGATATGAATATTTGATAAAGTAAAAATATTGCAATGACAAATTCTTAGAAAAAAAATCACATACTTTTCTCTGATTTCAGTAAGTTTTCAATATATTTAGGAAGATAGAGCTTTGATACTAAAAACAACAAAAGTTTTGTTTAGATCAACTACACATATTAATTATTGTTAAAAGCAAATTCAAGGGAGGCAAAAAACATCAAAGAATTGGAACCATAACCCAAATGCCTCCAGAATTTGCTTGAAACTGCAGTAATTAATTTTATCTATACAATATTTTGAACAATTATGAACATGTTGTATTAAGTTATTATTGCAGTAATAGAAAGAAAACCATACAAAGCAAGAAACACAGTCAAGGAAACAGAAAAAAAGAAGGGGAAAGAAACCCAAAAATTAATAAGAAATTTATTGTATTTGCAAATTCAATTTTTCTTATAAAAACCTTTAAGAAATTCTAGATACTCATCGCGGAATAAAATGATTGAGAATTAAATGATGAAATACTAGTAGAACAAAAAATCTGCACATAAGGTATATGTCTATTATCTTTTAAAATTCAAATTTCTAAGTGAACTACATGTTATAATAGTGATCTTAGACTTACCCCAGTTTTTGAAATGTAAGGAATATTTAGATGGATGCTTCCCTTTAATATAACGCAGATATTATTTCCATTCAATACAGAATATATATTAACAGGAGAAAAACCTGAAGCTGGAATGGGTTCAAAATCTGCCTCACAATACACTCCTGAAAGAGAAGAATTTATATCTAAAAAATATATCACAAAGGAAGATATTTGCAAGATCCAGTAAATGCTCAACTTACATGTATTTTCGAAAACGGGTACAATGAATCAAGCAGAGATTAGGTAACTTTTGTACAGTGCATTTAACACACATACATGTCACTATGAAATGGATCTTTATCTTTTGTAATCAAATACTTATACATTTATGTTTGTAAAATATTTACCATTTTCCGAAAATTTTCCGTCCTCAACATTAAAAGCTTGCACTTTTAACTCCATGTACATGAAGGCCAGGGTACTGTCCGAAAAGTTTCCCTCATTTTCACACTTGTAATATAACTTAGGACTTGACAAATTCACTTTATCAGTCACTGAGTGGTTGAAATCAGCTGACAATAATTATATACATTATCAAATAACAACAATACATCAACAGCAAACTCCTGATTAATACAATTAAACATAAAATGACCGTAGGGTATTGCAATCATGTATACGAGGGGTTATCAAAAAGTTCGTGGAATGAGGCTATAAAATTAGTACTGTGTAGTTCGTGCTTTCAAAATTTGTATGGAACATAAAACAACACAAAATAAAGAAATGTTAAAATTTTAGCCTGATACGATCATTATTTTCTAAATTATTATAAAATGAAAACGACATTATATGATCACCCAGCGCTGTCGTCGTTTATTTTCATGACGTCCCATAGCGTCATTGATTTTTCAATGCCCTCCTCTTCTAACTCATACACTTTTTTGATGAAATTCCCTGGAGCTGAGTAAGGACTTATACCCGCCTTTTTTATATGACTTTACAATGTCATGAACAGTGACCTTCAATGAATACAATATTACAGATTGATTAATACATTGGGGGAGATCTGCGCTTGATTGTGCTGGCATATTTTGCTTTTGAGAGTTCAATATAGATCTACAACACATGATTAACGTCATTTTTGACGGGATTGATTTTTCACACCTTGACTACAAATCGACATTAAATGTGTATCCCTTTACTCTCTGAATCTATTTTGACATTTAAAGACAAGTACTCTGGATGCATAATATTTTTTGTAGCCAGTTTTAACATATTTTAGGTCTAAACAAGTTTTTTCTGGGGCAAAACTTTATAGAATATTGGAAACGGGAAACCCCTCCCCCTTTTGACGTCATTTTTAAGGCCTCATTTATTTGGGCATTTCGTGTAAAATTTACGATAAAAGGCCATAACACTTCCAGAATGAAGTGAACATTTCATATTTTATAGAACAATTGTATCCCGACACATATCTGAATTAACGGGATTGTTGGATATCAAATAATCATATCAAAGGAGTTTTTCTCAGTTACACATAGGTCGGAAAAAACGGCGTTTTCGAGGTTGCACCGCATGGACATACCATTGCTTACAAAAACATTACTAATTTATTAAAAAATAAAATTCATGATTTGTGGTTTTATTCTTTGGATTAAAAGATGATGCTAACTGAATATTTCAAAATTCATAAATTTACCTTAAGCAGTTTTAATTTTATGGCCCTAGTCCACGAACTTTTTGATAACCCCTTGTATTTAGATAGTAACTCTATAAAACATTTCAATGTTCTATCAATAATATGTTTACAGTTCAAGACCTTTGACTACTATTTTTGAAAAAATCAAATTTCTTTTTCAACGAGCTATTTTAATGGCAGAGTTACACTTTAAAACGTATAGAGCCAGTGATATAATTTATTTGGTTTAGTTTTCATGTGACAAACATATATTCATTTGAATTCATTAAAAATTTATAAAAAGCTTCAATGTGATATTTTATTAACTGAATGCCCCCATAATAAAGTTTTTCGATTATTCACAGTAATTGTGGATAGGGTGGATGATAAAGTAACTACTGATAATTTCACCTTTTCAGGAGGTCAAACTAACTATCACAATTTAACCAAATTGCTTTATGCATATAAGGTATATATTTAATCAAAAGTCACTTGTCAATATCATTATTTTAAGATAATGTCAGATCCCTAACAAAATACACTATTGTTAAGCATAAAGTGTCAAAGTTATCATTATAGTAAATCAATATAGTGTGATAATTATCACGTTAGTGAATCTAAGTTACAAATATAGTAAATCAAAGTTTCATGGTGATCACTAAAGTAAATCAAAGTTTTCATAGTGATTACTTACGTAAACCATTGTGTCAATATCACTATAGTAAATGCTAGCAAAGTTAGCACTGTAGAAAATCAAATTCTTTATTGTGTCAAAGTTAGCACTAAAGTTAACTTAGTTAAACAAAACATTACTGTAGTATTTTTTGTTAGGGAAGGTTGAGGTACATCAAATAAATCGATGTAGATTTGACATTGATAAAAATCATTATTTATATATATATATATATATATATATATATATATATATATATATATATATATATATATATATATATATATATATATATATATAAAGAAAGACAAAGTTGGGAAAAATTAAATATGGATCTACTGTTAAATCATTGACTATACACTGTTGATACCTACGTTCCATGGCATCCGAGATATTTACATTAGCAAACCAAGATATAAGGCTAGATTTTCCGTTCATTATTTCAAAATTAAAAATCAAGGATTGAATTCCTGCATCTTTTGGTGTGATAGTGAGACCAGAAAAGTTTTCATTTCCACTGGCACATGTTCCTGTGACGGTGACATCACTGCTCACTGGAACATCCATTGTTGTAGTAGCCTGTATAATGAATGAGAACTTATTACTACGTACATGTAAATAAAGTTTTGTTCAGTGAACATAAGGGACATATTACTGGTTTCCAACAATCCATTTTTGATTTAAGGAGATTTGTTTGATACGTTTCTTGAATAGTCTAATAAAAGATTTCTGCATAATTCATAGAGATCTGTTCCTGTAAAGCATAAGTTGTTCATTTTCATTTCACGTTGTTATACCAAGGTTTTTTAGCTGACAAAAATGTGATCAAAACCTCTTTACCTTTTAAAAGGAGAGCTCGCACGGTTTGTAAAAATGTGGAGCAATCCTACATATCAAAGCTGAAATTGTTTATCCGGTAAACCATGTTTAATATGTACAGGGTGCTCTAGCAAGTTACATGTTCCAACTTTGCAGTCTCCGAAAAAGTTTTTTAGAATAAAAGTTTAAAAGAAATTATTTGTAAAACCTACAGAACATTATGGTAGCATATTTCTGCCCCTTGTGTGCAAGTTATTTTTCTATCAAATATGTCGACATGCAAGATAGATATGTTGACATGCAACATAGCTACTTTCAACATGCAACATAAATATGTTGACATGCAAGAATATTGCAATGAAAAAAAATTATAAAACAATCTTACAGTTCAAATATTGCCTACATGTGACATCCAACATACTAAATGCTACTCTGAGCTGTTAACATGCAAGATAAATATGATGACATGCAACTTAGACATGTTAACATGCAACTTATTTATGTTGACATGCAACTTATTTATGTCGACATGCAACTTGGTTATATTGACATGCGAGATAAATATGTTGACATGCAACTTATAAGTTGCATGTTGACATTGGATATGATGGTTCATGTTGTAACCAAGTTGCATGTGACATAACCAAGTTGCATGTTGACATAACCAAGTTGCATGTGACATAACCAAGTTGCATACACACATAACTAAAATACATGTTAACATAATAAGCTGCATGTCAACATAAATAAGTTGCATGTTAACATAAATAAGTTGCATGTCAACATAAATTAGTTGCATGTCAACATAAATAAGTTGCATGTCCACATATAATAAGTTGCATGTCAACATAAATAAGTTGCATGTCAACATAAATAAGTTGCATGTCGACATAAATAAGAAGCATCTAGCATTTTGGATGTCACATGTGGGCGATATTTAAAATTTTTTATAATATTTATTTGATTGCAATTTTTTTGCATGTCAACATATTTATGTTGCATGTTGACATCACTATCTTGCATGTCAACATATTTATCTTGCATGTCGACGTATTTGATAGAAAAATAACTTGCACACAAGGGGCAGAAATATGCCACCATAGAACATAACACTTTACAGTTTTTATATTTTATGTTTGTTTTGGCCACAGAAAAACATGGGACTTTTTCACTATTGTGAAACCATATGGGAGCCAATGTTGGGGTTCCTTTAAACATTCTCTATAAACATGATTGTCAATCAAAAATTAATTATACTTAAAAATTTGTTCAAAAAATTTATACAAATCTTACAGTTTTATTATCCTTTGTCATATACGTCACTTTTAGCTGGAAGCGTCCCTAAAGATGAGACAAATTTGGGAGTTCTCAATGACTTCATATCTGGACTTTGGGGGAAATGAAGGATTTGGAGGTGCAGTGGTGGTCCCCCCAATGGAACTGTTGTTTTCTCTGTTGTTCCATTAGATGGACCCACTGTTGTTTCAGTAATTGCTGGTGGTTCTGTTGTGGCTGTAGTGGGTTCAGATGTCACTGTTGTATCTTGTGCTACAGATGTCATCTGATCAGCACTACACACAAACACTGTAATACAGCGTGAAATGGTGACTCTATGAACAAGATTGAAAATACCTTTGCAAAAACCTGGATTAGAACGTATTGCAAAGAGCTATATTTAAATATCTTTTTAGGCATAAATTAATAAAATTAATAAAATATCATTTGCAATAACACATATAAATTAAGTAACACACTTGAATCTACACTGCCTGGGAAAGGAAAATCTTAATTTTATGTATAATAATGATTAGAAGGTATTTATGCTATTTCTGGAGAAATGCACCCTTTGTAATGAAGAATTTTTTTGCTTTCTATGGGCTGGGGTCATTTTCCCTTGCTCCCAGCAACAAAAAAATGCACCATAATTATAAATGCACCAAAACTCATTTTTGTTGATGTATAGGCTGTTAGTGAAAGATTTGGAGATAATAAATATGATCATTCATGCCACCCTTACAATTCTTGAGAAGATTTTTTTTCATTTAATACTATATATTAGTATACTTTAAAATTTTCAATAATTGCAAAAAAAGTATAGGTCGCCATAGGGGTATTTAAGATTTGAACAGAAATAAATGAAAGTATTTGTTAACAAAAAAATCGCACATTTTTTGTAAACAGTATATATGAAAAATATTCAAAAACTGGTTAAAATGATTTTTAAAGAATAATTTTCCTTTATATTTCTACTTACAAAATACTTTTGAATTGTGAGTATCAGGGAAACTATTTTACATAAAAGCAAACGCCTGAATGAAGAGACCTGTGAAGGAGTTATTGCCCTTTTCAATATTTTAAAGATTGAATAATTGATTAAATAAAGAAAATATACATCTTTTTAAATTCTTTTACTTTACAATATTCATCAGAACACCTATTGAAAAGCATTCCTAAAAGAGAAAGTGTTCTATCAGGTTTTAATTTAAAGTAAAACCAGTTTTTGCAAAAGCCTTTGACACCATAGAGGGTGGAATTACCTTAAAGATCAAAAGTCCATGAAACAATACAAAATATGAGCAGAACAAACACGGGCATCCAAAACATCAGAGGTGGAATGAGATGCCATGGAAAAGTGAGTATCCCTGGCAAAAGGCCCGCCGTGTACATACGTATTAAACAGGTCGTTCTTCCTAATAATAAATGAAATACTAAGTATTGTTGTTTGAACAAGATTCAACAAATAACTAAAACGACTTTAGCTCTACTGGTATTTATTTGTAATAAACAAAAGAAAGATATATTTTAGTTTGCGGTAATTGAAAAAAAATTACTAATAAAATAATGTGTGGCCTTATTCATTGTGACTATTCGATAACGTATTTTAGAAGATGTTACGGATAAAAAGAATACCAAAGATCTCCATACGTAAAATTCTGGAATGTGTATTTTAACATCTTACCGTCAGTGCTGAGTTTTCCATTTGTTATATTTAAAGCCTGAATCTGTACGTTAGACATATCCATGTACAAAGTATAAATGGTGCCTTCCAGCACTCCAATTAATGCTATTCTCTGGGAGGATTCACACTGATAAAGCTGGGCGATTGATCCAAGTGTCAAGTCTCCAGTATCCAACAAATTTATTGTAGCTGTAATTTTATCAAGTAATATTTTTGTAATAAAAATGGATAAAAAAGGTGAAAAGTTTCCACATCTTTTTCCATCTGTATATTAATTGATTACTGTAAACAAAGTATTATACGCGTCAGCCTTTATTTGTCAGTTTGAAATTAATACGCGACGATGAATTTTCGCGACTGGGGAAACTTTCTTTACGAATGGACAGCAAAATAAATTGTTAGCTGCAATTAATGTTGGTAAGTAAATAGGTATTAGTATTTCTCGCACGTGAATAAAAGTTGGTATGAGGTTGAGTGGTGTCAATATTACAACTTACTTGCTATTGGAGATCCTGGAAAGAATTCGAACGGAGCAAATGTAAACATCAAGCTCATGTTCACTGATAAATCAGGGAGAGCGTTGAAAGTCAAGGACAGAAGGTCTGAGTTTGAATTTGTCAATGTCAATATGGACTGATATTCTCCTATAGTTGCACAATCCCGTTTCTTAACAGTAAATATTTTCCATCAAACTTTATTGTTTCATTTCCATCACTCAGGGTAAACAGAACGTCCATCTTAACATCAATACAGGTTTCATTATTGCCGTACATGTACTTATATTCTGATCCTTGTGTCAGTGATAATGCTTAATTTGTCGAAGTAAATGAATATAAGTTAATATCAAAGCCAAATCGGTAATATTTATGCAAAGTTTGAATAACTTCATGTATATTCAAAACATATTGTAAAAGAATACCAACGATGGAAATACAGAAAAATAGATGATGTCTATAAATATGTGTCATATTATCATCTCAAAAATGTGCAAGTACCAACTTAAACATATGGACTTCTCTTGTTGTAAAAGGGTAAAATAAAATTATGCCTAACCTTCATTCTGTTTTTTTCAAAAGTAGAAAGATCTATCAGAAAAAAATTCCTGGAATTTTCTATATATTCCGAATTCTTAAGAAAATGGCTACAATGGCTACATTGGCTACCTAGAGCCTCTGGTTCTATCAATTTACAAGTTTCTGATTAACCTAGCTGTATTACTAGTGAATGAGTGGCAAATTAATAATGTAACAAAGTGTTATTTATTAAAATGTTATTATTATAAAGATAACAGAATAAATTTTTACGTTCAATATTTTAATCTTTTATATTTATTTTTATAAGCTGCTTACCCCATAGGAATACCGTTCCAACGGAAATTGCCTTCCAAATGTATTTTGACATCGAACGTTCGGGTATGTCTCAAATAAGTTCAAAATTAAACTTTCTAAGAAAGGGCATAACCCAAATCATATAAATAAAAAATATAGGCAAATATATAAATGTATAAATACATATAGTATGAACTGAAGGATTTATCTTTGTATACTTTTATCAAATGATTTTACGGTAAACTGTTATCTCACAAGATACACAAGATACACAAGTTGTCGATATATTGCACATCGTATTATACCCTTTCCCATGTTGATGAACATTGATTATCTATAGAGTACTCCATATTTTTTTTTATCAAAAATTATAAACAACTAGTGCTAATTGTAACGGGGACCGTTACAGATGTTCCCCAAACGCTCCCCAACTCCCTTTTTGGTGCCATATTCCCGGACAAAATCTATGCATTTGAAACTTTAACAACGCCAAGTTCATTCAGATTTTAGCATTGCACGAGTGCGCATGTGAATGCAAGCGCGTAATGACCATATCATCTTGTCTACACAATCTATATATTTTTTATATACAAAATATTAAAGTATTTAATCCAAAAGTCTTAAAAAATACGCTCATTCAAGTGTATTTTTGATTTATCTCATTTCATGTGCACTCACGTGCATACATGAGCATGGTGACCATATCTTCATATAGAAGTCCTTTACATCTATCTATGTTCTAAATCCCACCCCGTTTGGTTGAAAACCAAGGGAAATATAGCTGTTTATAGTTTCAGCCAATCAGATTACAGCGCACGTACACGCACGTGTATGCATGTGCATTGTGACCATACCGTCTTGTAGAAGTTCATTATCTGTACTCTGTCCAAATTCCATCCTGTTTTACGTTGAAAACCAAAGTAGTTATAGCTATTTAAAGTTTAAGCCAATCAGATTGCCGCACACGTGCATGCACGTGTTTTCATGATAATTGCTATATATCATATTGTAGGATATCTTAATGCATGGCTATGTTCAAATTTTCATAGGATTTCGTCGAAAAACAAGAAAGATATACATACTTTAGTTTCAGCCAATCAGAGCGAAGCGCATGTGCATGCGCGTGAGATCTTGTTTTTTTTTATCATGTCATCTTTTCTACGCTACTAATATATCCTTACATGATAAATTTCAAAAGATTTCATCAAAAAATAGAAAAGTTACGGCTATATCCATTATATTGGTCATTTCACGTGTTGCACGTGTGCGCTCTTGCAAGCACGTGCGCGCAAAATGGCATGTTGACAATGTCATCTTATCTACATTTATAATATGTCTATATATTCTAAATATCAAAGCATTACATCAAAAAAATGTAAAAGTTACGGCAATTTCAAGTATATTGGTCATTTCACGTGTTGCACGTGCGCGCTCTTGCAAGCACGTGCGCGGAAAATGACCTTCGTTCCGCAAATCTACATAACATGCCTACTTATCCTAAAAAGGTTTCCCCTTAATCGGATGTGTACTTTACAAGATCATTCGCGGACAAAATTTTCCAAGAAGAAAAATAATAATAACTAGAGCAAAGCTCGTTGCAAAGCAACGAGTAGGTCTTCCGTCCTGTTTGACCGGAAGTAGCTTTCATTTTCAACAAAAATGAGAAATAATGTCCAGAAATAGTTTGAATCTTCTAAAGCTATGCTAATTAATGCAAAAATAAACCATTTTTTGCTACTTCCGGTTTGACCGGAAATAAGGCAGCGACGGACTGAAAATTTATTTTGATCCGAGACATATGTTACCCAAAAACTTGTCAAGAAAGGCAAAAATACGCGTTTTCCGACTACTTCCGGTTTAGCCGGAAGTGACGTTGCCGGACCAATTTTCACTGCACTCCGATAGATGAAGCTTGAAATTTTGAACAACTTTGCTTCTTTCACGCATCAACAAATTCTCCATACTTTTCGAGATATAAAAGAAAAACTTTCCATCCCGCTAGGCCTTAAATTTTAGTGCTAGCCCTTTTTTGAGATGTCATTTGAAAGATCTGAGACTCGAGACTTCTTTTGTTATACATGTTTCAACAAAATATTTTTAGGTAAAAAGTTAATCGTTGAAAAGGTTTCAAAATTTTTGATATCCGCGAAGGTACTATTTTCGGGCCATAACTAGCTTCCGTACACAGCAATTTCGGTGAATATGAAATACGTTCCGCACATGGTATCTAGTATTGCTCTATTATCATCAAAATCTCAAGTTTCTGTCTTAAGCCGTTTTCGATAAAACTCGCGGACAAACTGACCCTCTAAAATTCACTAAAATGCAAAAATCTCGGAACCGGAAGTGACGTCATCAAAATAAAAAAAATGATGTCTAGATTTTTTCATGTTCCATCAGCCCTGAAAGTTTCATGAAAATCGAGCAAACCGTTTCCGAGAACTCGCGTGCACAAAATTGGTAAGAAAAAAAAGAAAAAAACTGTGGAAAAGAAACCTAAGAATAACAGAAAGGTCTTCCGTTGGAAACGGAAGACCTTAATAAGAAACAGAGTAAAAACAATATGTTCCCCAACTTCGTTTGGGGAACATAATAAGACAATGATTAAGTAAAGGAGATTAATTTTTACAAAGAAATAAATATCAATACTTACCATACTGTTTGTACCTGTATGCTTT